GTAGTAGTAGCAGCAGTAATAATAGCTGTAGTAATAGTAGCAGTAGCAGTAGTAGTAGCAGCAGCAGTAGTAGCAGTAGCAGTAGTAGCAGTAGGAGTAGTAGTAGTAGTAGTAGGAGGAGTAGTAGTAGTAGTAGTAGTAGTAGTAGTGGCAAGAGCAGTAGGAATAGCAATACTCGTAATAAACAGTAAAGTCGAACAATGGAGAGTGGACAGAGTCTATGTAATAATGATGATAATAATCAACTAGAACTATGGACAGTGTCTATGACTACTACTATTACTATTACTATTACTATTACTATTACTACTACTACTACTACTACTACTGCTATTACTGCTACTACTACGACGACTACTACTACTACTACCACCACTACTACTGCTCATTGTATTCCTTTTTAAAGCCCCTGAAAGCTCCAAAAGGGGAAATGTCAGAAGGTTACTTGCCAAAGAACGGAAGGTCAGTTGTCATGAACAGGGATTTTAGGACGGTCACCAGCGTGGACTCTCCTTCTATCCTATGCTGGTTGGCCCGTCGCCTATAGAACGTGTAATCCATTTGGACCACCCTATAGAGAATCATTCCCAGGATCCGTTCTCCTGCGGTGGTGCCCGCCACGGCCAGCTCCTTGGATGCAGTGTTCGCACCAGACGGCTTAAGCTCACCGCGGAAGGCTCCACGGGGACACCCGCGCTCTCTGGTTCAGGCGCAGAGGCGGAGGGTCCCGCTTCGACCTCTTCGGCCTCTTGTTCCTCCTCGGCGGCCCTTTGCTCTACCGCAGCGTCTTCGTCAGCTGCTGCTGCGGCGGCTGCTTCCCGCTCTGCCTCTCTCCGGGCCCATTCCTCCACAGCTTCGGCCTCAGGGTCGTCAACTATCACGTTGATAACTTCGGCCGCTACCAGTGCTATGGTGGCCCGTTTGGCTTTCTTGAGCTCGGTGCAGGGCATTAGGAACTGGTTCCCCTGCCTGAAGAAGTCGGCTTGTTGCCCATCTTCCCACTCGATGTACGAGCGTGGCTTGTGGAAAACCACCTTGGCATCCTTTCGCGGTGATGCCCTCGACCACCTGGAAGGTAGTCCTTGCAGTCTGGCGATTTTGGTCGCCAAGCTCCAACACGGTTCCGTAACACCTTGGATATTCAGAAGCGTGTCGTCCACCGAGTACAATTTCTGTTTTTGCTCTGGGTCGATGGCTGCCTTGAAGGTTCCGGGCCGGCACACTGAAACAGTAGCCCCTGTGTCCACCAAAAGGTGCCCTTGGCGGATGTCCCCGCCCCCAATTCTGAGCACGCGCATGTGCTCATCGGAGACGCGCCGCACTCCTGGCTTGGTAGCGCTGGCGGTGCTCCCCGCTTGGGATGCGGAGGGGCCCGCAGAGAGGACTGACGCGTTGTCGTCTGCCACTTGGTTGACAGTGTTTCCTCCCTTTTTGCCTTGGCCCTTTCCTTTTCCTTTGGAGTTGAACCAGCAGTGCGCCAACAGATGGGGCACTTTTCTTTTTCTTTGTTGTCTTTTCCTTTCTCCCCATGCTGGTTGCCATCGCCCTTTCCTTTGGGTTTGTCACCCTTTTTATCTTTGCCACTTTTGTCTTTGCCCTTTCCTTTGCCTTTGGGGTTTTCTTTGTCCCCAATTTTGCCAATGTCCATGGCATCTGGGTCTTTGGCTCTGCCATGGTGGGCATAAGTGGCATTTGGTGTCCAGACTCTTTTAGCCTGGAGGTAAGAGACAACCACTTGTCTCACCTCATCATAAGCAGTGAGGCTGCTTGCATGCATTGCAAGGTGCTGTTTGAGTGCAGTTGGGGACTCAACCATCAGAAGAGCTCTCTTGTCTTCATCTGAGATTGCCTTTTCATCCCCAAACTCGGTGGCATACTTAGCCAAGTCCAGCTCCCATTCCTGCAACGCTGCGCTGAATTCCACCTCTTTTGAGGGGAACTTTGGGCTCAGTAAGGCCCTTCTCCAGATCAGGCCTCTGTTCGCTTGCTCTGGGTGGAATTCTTTCCACAAGAGTCTCCAGAGCTCAAAGCCTGACTGGTTTTGAATGCCTCTTGCAATCTTGGTTGCTGCCGGGCAATCTTGCACCCATCTTACCAGCAAACCAAACAATTTGACTGACAGGATTCTGTGTTCCTGGGTTTTCAGGGTGTCCATGGGTGTTTTCTGCTTCCTGGCCTCATCCAGATGGCCAGGGAAGGTTTCATCTATCAGGCTGAGGTAGGTCTCAGCCTGCCACACAAACCTTTCCCAGTCGTCACTTTAAGGGGCTTTATAGCTTGTTTTAACAAGTCTACTCCCCTAAAAACTGTCTGGGTGAGACCACCTACCGGTGAAACTTGCCCTAGGGGTCCTAGGCTACCTACCAAGAGTCCAGCGTAGACTCAGGGGTGTCCTTGAATCCCTCCTCCTTGACCGCGCAAGCGGTGTCGGGAGGGGTTTGTCAGGTTTGGTAGGGCGTTGTGTGGCCTCTACCGCGTAGCCTTGAAGGCTGCGAAGGCGCGGGCTGCGCAGGCTCAGCTCTCGTAGGAGCTGCTGCTCTCGTCCTGCGCGGTGTTACCCGTTGGAGGTGTAGCCGGCTCGGGCACGGGCCTCGGCTCAGCTTTGGCCTTTGCGGCCGGCTCCTTAGCCTCTGCACTATAAGGACTCTGTGCTACTCTCCTCCTGCTGGTCTGCAGCTGCTTTGGCCGCTGCAGCCTTGGCGCGCCTTTGCTGGCCGCGCTCTATGCGGGCTTCGGTCCTCTCAGCTGACCAGTTTGCCCCTTTTTCCAGAAGCCGTCCTTGCACACCCACTCCGGGGGCGGTTCCTCCAGTGAGCTATGCGCTCACCAGACACACTGCTGGAGCTCGAACTGGTTGGTCCACTGGTGGCTGGAAGAGCTCTGGCCTACTTGCTCTTGCCAGCCAGCCCAGGGGTCCTGTTTCTCAGGATTCTCCTGCTCTTCTTCTTGCCAGGTTTCGTCCTGCCAAGAAGCGTGCTGGACCTCTTCGTGGTCCCAGAGTTCGTCCCAGTCAACTGGAACGCCAGTCGCTATGCGACCAGGAGCGGTTATCGCCCCGATTCCACCACCAATCGCCCCAGTCGCTTGCGACGTGGTGGCTGCCTGGTGGCGGGTCTGCCCGCTCCTAAGGAGCGGGAAAACCCTTGTGGGCGCTTTTGCTGCCCCCTTGCCCTGGTCTTAGGACCCAGGTGCCCTTTCCAGGTTTGAAGGCCCTGGTGCCTTGTTTTGGGCTAGCCTGACGGCGGTCCTGCACTAAGCTCTGTTGGCCTAGTGCTTTGGTATGTCAGGTTTTGAGGTCCCTGGTGACCCGTCAGCTTGCGGTGCTACCCGCAGGTGTGCCTCAGCGGTTCCTCCAGAACTGCGGGGCAACCCGCTGAGCTCTCTGTCCCAAAGCGGATCAAAGCAGCTCCGCTACCATGCGAAGGCTACAGCTCCCTACCTAGGTGGGCTCAGGCCTAAGCAGAGACGCCTTTTTCCTCAAGCACAAAAAGGGCTGCGGAGTCGCTTTTCGGTACCTACATTTGTAGGGGAGTAGCCTAGCTCAAACCCTCTAGCTCTTTGGTGGTAACATACACTTGGACGCGTATGTTTCGCAATATCAGGCTTTACAAATTTCCATGCAGGTTCAGGTTTGACACTTGACTTGAAAGAGCTTGCGACGATAAAATTGCGTCGCGTTGGTTTTTAAACATTGCGATGGTGTCCAAAAACCAGGCGATACAAGATTTCACCGGCTTTCAAATTCACTGCGCCTGCCAGCACATTCAGGGCCTCAAGCACGTGCATGTCACGTTTGGGGGGTTTCTTCCCCTCCGGTTGCCTGGTGGTAGTAGTGGTACTAGTAGTAGTAGTAGTAATAGTAGTAGTAGTAGTAGTAGTGGTAGTAGGAGGAGGAGGATTAGACATATTGTGTATTTAGACGAAGAACAATAGCAATGATCTTGGCGGTAACAGTACTAGAAGCCGTCGTAGCAATAGCAAAACAGATAATAGAAAATCACACTACTAAAAGAGCATTAAGAAAACAATAGCAATCAAAAACTGCAAGAGCAAAACATCTGCGTACTAGTAATTGCAACGCATGTATGATGATGAGAACAAGTAGGTCTTGACGGCGCTTTGAAAGCACTGTCTAGGCAGGTCCACATGTTGCATTTATTTCGAAAACGAAGCAGGGGGTGCGGGGGAAGCCCCCGCCCCCTTGCACAATATGGATGAAGGTAAGAACACGTAATGGATTGCCAAGCTTGGTATGACTTGCATGGTCTTGATGTGTCTTGGAAGGACAGAGCCGCAAAAAAAAGCTACTAACGGCAGTCACAAAAACAACGTATTACAGTAATACTAATGCTAGTACTTATACCAATACTACTGGGATTAAAAGTATACCGACACTAATGAAGAGGGAAAGAGCAATAATGGTAGTAAAGGAAACCGGGCGGTTCTGTAGTCCAAATTGTGCGGCCGCTTCATGTAATGTATCATATTCCTAACCCTTCAAGAGCTCAAAAACACCAAAAGTAATTTACCGTTCTTGCTAGTCTTTCAAGAGCCGCAAATGCTGTAACTTGCAGCAGCCATTGCCATCATTTGCAGTATTCGTAGCATTTCAAGAGCTTCAAATGTTGAAATTTGCAGAATTGGCAACCTTTCAAGAGCTCCAAATGCTGCAATTTGCCATATTCCTGGGACAAAGGGAACCCTTCCAAACAAAATAATGCCTAGAAAAATAAGATTCCGTACAAAAAGGGATCCATACCTTGGAGAAATCTTACTTGCAGGAAGCTCCAAACTCGAAGCACTCAGCTTGGTACGGGATGCGCCCAACAATGCCGAAGTCAATGAAAGCCACACGCCCGTCCTTAGCAAGACTAAAGGAAGCTCTTCAATGTACGCAGAGCTTGAAGCTGCAAGCTGTAAGCAAGGCTCCTTAGAGATAATCACAAACGTATGTTATATTCTCAATTGACTGAAGGCAGTTGATTCCGTATTGAGCTGAAAATGTGAAGCAGCCATGACCTGGTCCGTGGAACACCACAGCTTGCAAAAGGCCCTCCCCCCTCGCTACTCCGCCTGTAGCACCAGGAGGTTCCCTGCATGCACCTCATGCAATTGCTCTGACGCTCAACTTGTTCTCTCAAGCTCTGATCGCCCAGATCAAACATGTTTCAAGCCTAGTGCCTGCCAGGATTGCCTCGCTGGGGCTACAGCATCTGCGTGGAATATGTCGCAGGCCCTCACAGAAAGCGACCACACCTTGCTTCATGTTTCGAGCTGCGGTTGCTACGGTTGCTTGACTTGAGGAAGTGCGCTCCAGGGACCACACGTTCAGTGCGTTGATTAACGTCTGCTCAGGATTCTTGCTGTACTGGCGAATGCCTGGCGGCTTTTCAACGGCGGTCAACGGAACATCACATCTGGAAACACGACCGTTGGCGCTTGCTTCTGAATTTCGGCTGGCAATAAACGTCAGGTGTGTCTGACAAACCCAGCTTGAGCTGCTGCTCATTTTGAATGCAGAAGACTTTTCGTCTCCTTCCACAAGCTGATACCAAATCGACATTCAGACCTGTTTTTGCGAGGTTTGAATTGCAGCACGTTTTGTCGTGTGGCTTTCACACGGCCATCTTCAGCATTCTGACACGTATTGAATTGCACGCTACCGAACTTTATCGAACACACCTTGTCCATCCTTGTCCATGGCGCCGCACGTCATCATGGCCCGTGTCCTTTTTCCCTCTAATCGCCGTTTACGATCCCATCTTAATCTCGGCGGAAGCGTTTTTTCCCTAGGCGTGGCTGGAAAGGATTTTCCTAGGCGCGGCTGTAAGGATTTCCTATAAGCCGGCGGCTGCAGCTACGCCGAGGAAAAAAAACAAGTCAGGGGGCCCGGAGGCGTTTTCTTTTCCTAGGCGCGGCTGTGAGGATTCCCCACAGCCACGGCCCAGAGGCGTATTTTTTTCCTAGGTGTGGCTGAAAGGATTCCCCACAGCCACGGCAAGGAAAAACAAAAAAACATGTCCGGGGGCCCGGAGGCGTACTTGTTTTTCCCTACGCGCGGCTGTAAAGGATTTGGCTAGCTGCGGCTGGAAGGATGAAGAGAACTCCGAGGACGCTCCACGCGCCAGTGCTCCAACGCACCCAAAACAACGAGACGGTCGCCACTTACGCCCAGAATTTCGAGGACGCTCCATACACCAGCGTCACGACGCGCAGAAAACAACGAGAGGGTCGCCACTGTAGTCGCGACTTACGCCCAGAATTTCGAAGATGCTCCACGCGCCAGCGCCACGACGCGCCAGAAACGGCGAGAGGCCACTTACGTCCAGAATTTCGAGGACGCTCCACGCGCCAGCGCACGACACGCGGAAAACAACGAGACGGTCGCCACTTACGCCCAGAATTTCAAGGACGCTCCACGCGCAAGCGTCATTTCGAGGACGCTCGACGCGCCAGCGCCACGACACGCGAAAAACAACGAGAAGGTCGCCACTGTAGTCGCGATCTACGCCCAGAATTTCGAGGACGCTCCACGCGCCAGCGTCACGACGCGCTGGAAACAGCGAGAAGATCGCCACTTGCGCCCAGAATTTCGAGGACGCTCCACACTCCAGCGTCACGATGCGCCAACGACAGGGTCGCCACTTACGCGCAGAATCTCGAGGACGCTTATGGAGAAAAATGCCGACCAATGATGAATGACGGTGAAGAATGATGAGTAATTAGTGATCAAAATCATGAAAATGATGAATCATGACAAAAAATCATGTGAATGATGAGAGAAGAAAAATGTGGCAAACAATGATACGACACCTGATGAAAGATAATGAAATGTGGCGAGAAATCAATAAAGCTCAACACTAATTATGATGAAAATGATTAATATTGATAGCAGATAGCAAATGATGAAAATGGTCAAGGATCATGCTGATGATGGAGCTGATGAAATGATGAGAATCATCAAGCATGATGCAAAACCAATACAAATGATACAACGTGAGGGTTGATGATGAAACTCATGAACATCATGAAAGCTAATGAGAAACATGAAAAATGATGTACAAACATACGACATAAAGAGTCACCAACCCTTCACACGTTT